TGTTAGATCTTGATATATATGGCCTTGGAAAAACAAAATTCTGTTTATCGTGCCTTTATTTTAGGTTAAAGAGAAGCGGGCAGAACTCGAAAAATTAAAAACTACATTTGTCCGGAGAGCTTCTGAGTTCTTGAGAAACTACTTTGCCAGTTTGGTGGATTTCATGATTAGTGATAAAAGCTACTTCTCTCAGGTTTTTCCTTCATGTTATTTCATCTTGATGATAAGTAGCAACTTTGTGACAAGGATTCCTAAATGTTGTTCACCTGCTTGATTTAAACAGCGGGGACAATTGAAGCGACCTGATCATGCTGACTTGCGGTATAAATGCAGGACATATGCTCGCCTTCTGCAACATTTAAAGGTCACATTGCTGATCAACTCTAAAATCTGTAAAATATCATGTCTTGATTTTTCTTATATTTTTGTTCCTGCTCGTTCTCAGAGTCTTGATAAGAGTTGCCTGGGTCCTTTGAGGAAAGCTTATTGTGGCTCCCTTAACTTACTTCTGCGCAGAGAGGTTGGGAAATGCAAAATGAATATTTAATAATCTAGAAAAGAAATGCTTTTCTCATTTGAACTTTATGCTGGTTATAATGCTTGATAAATAGTTGAAATTCTGTTTAGGCTCGTGAATTCGCAAATGAGCTTCGAGCTAGTACAAAAGCATCAAGAAATCCGACTGTCTGGCTGGAAGCTTCAACAGGTGGCAGTCAAAGTGGGAATAGTGCAGACACTTCTGCAGTTTCTGATGCTTATGCCAAAATGCTGACAATTTTCATTCCACTGCTGGTAGATGAGGTTATAGTTCTTCAGCACTGGTTGTAGATGAGGTTAAATGTATTCCTAAGTCTTAATTTATTGAAATTTATTCCTTCATGGTTTAAACTGCAGAGTTCTTTCTTTGCACACTTCATGTGCTTTGAAGTTCCTGCACTCATTCCCCCAGGAGGTGTTGCTAATGGTAAAAGTGGATCCCATGGTGATGATACGAATGATGATGATCTGGGCATTATGGACATTGATGACAATGACAGCAAAGCTGGTAATCATTTTTGTTTGTGCCTTTATAATTTATGGCAAGAAATCAGTTTGACAAATGTGGAAACTATTTGATTTTGCTAGGTAAAACTTCTGCAGATCTGCAATCATTGAATGAATCACTTCAGGATTTGCTTGACGGAATTCAAGTATGTAAGCATATTGGGTTCTTTGCTTATAGATTTTCTGTTGCTCCTTGTTGTGTTCCTTAGTTGTTTCTATGAGTTTCTGGAACTAGAATTACATTTTAAATCATGAATGTCTTCCCAAGTTTTGTGCTTTTCTCTAATGCTAATCACTTTTTAGTTGCTTGCATGCCTTTGGTTTCTATTAGCATGTCTTTATGATGTTTCTGGATTACAGGAAGATTTTTATGCCGTGGTGGATTGGGCATACAAGATTGACCCTTTACGTTGCATATCTATGCATGGGATAACTGAGCGCTATCTATCTGGCCAGAAAGCTGATGCAGCAGGATTTGTACGTCTCCTGCTTGGTGACCTAGAGTCAAGAATTTCTATGCAGTTCAGCCGGGTATGTTTGTTTGGAAACCTTAAACTTTATGACCTCTTTCATTTAGTATGAATCTAATCTGTTTAAGCTGCAATCGGATTTGCAGTTTGTTGATGAGGCTTGTCATCAAATTGAAAGAAATGAGCGTAATGTGCGACAAATGGGGGTCTTATCATACATCCCACGGTAAACTGAATCTTAGCCTTTGTGAGAATGCAGAGATAGTAAATTTGAGGCCCAAGCTGATAAAATTGCAAAGAAAAAAAAACTAGTTGTTTTCCATTAATGGTTTGAAATAATTTGCTTTTTCAGGCACATGTTATCAGAATGCTGTAAATTTTTATTTCCAAAATAGCTAGGTTTAGTATTCTTATTTGATGCTTTATTATTTGCCTGCTTATCAGATTGTTACTTCAGTTGGTTTTAAACAGTTAACATGTTCTTATGCACAGCTTTGCAACTCTAGCCACTCGCATGGAACAGTACATCCAAGGACAATCTAGGGACTTGGTTGATCAAGCATACACAAAATTTGTAAGTCATATTTTCAGCCTAATATCCTTGTTAAGTGAGCTCTTGGTGGATCATACAGTAGCCTTAGCATCATGATAAGACTTAAGCAGGTACTAAGGTCTACTTTTGATACTAATTAGCATACTGTGTGATGAGTCATGAAAGCATTCTTTTGAGCTACTCCTGTTGATGGGTGATAAACACAACTGCCTTCCCTGTACTTAATTTCTGTTTGGCTGCATTTATTGTCCTTACTTGCTTTTCTTAGTAAGATTAATTCTTTCATGTCGTGATAATTCTTTCATGTCATGATATCAAATCATGCTCTTTTTTTGTAATTTTTCTTTATGTTGTTATCTTCTGAGTATATATGACTTTATTACTGAAAAAATTTCACATTGCAAATGCTGTTTGGCAGGTTAGTATTATGTTTGTGACTCTCGAAAAACTTGCACAAACGGATCCCAAATACGCTGATATATTTCTTTTGGAGAACTATGCAGCATTTCAGAATAGGTTTGGATCTTTTTCATCCTATTTTTCTATGGCTGTGGATATAATATTTCTCGATTCCTTAAGGGCAACTTTTTTTTTTCTTTCTCCATGCACACTCTACAGCTTGTATGACCTGGCCAATGTTGTGCCCACCTTAGCCAAATTTTATCACCAAGCAAGTGAAGCTTATGAACAAGCATGTACACGTCATATCAGCATGATAATATATTATGTAAGTAATCAACCTTGGTGGCTTTTTATTTGATTTATTCATTATTTACTTCTTGAGCAGTGATGTTAAATAGTAGTGGAGACACAGAAAAAGCTTTTTATGTTTGACTCACTCTTTAAATTGTTTCTCTTTTCAGCAATTTGAACGACTTTTCCAGTTTGCTCGAAAGATTGAGGATTTAATGTTTACAATTTCACCAGAAGAGGTTAGCCTGTTAATAATAGTATTTTTCCATGTTCATAATTTATGCATTTACTTTCATCAGATAGCTCCCGGTTTTCACTAATTTTACTGCATAATTCATAATGTGCATGGTATTCTCATCCCATGTTTAGACATCACCAGAATCCATAATAAAAATTGAATCACTTTTTTCACAATGAAATTAGTGACTTTTGTGAGTTTAGACATCGTCACCATCCATAATTAACAAATGAATGATTTGGCTGACCATATACTTCACAAATTTCAGATACCTTTCCAGCTTGGATTGTCTAAAATGGATCTCCGGAAGATGTTAAAATCCAGTTTATCTGGGGTGAGTTGATCAACAGTTTTCAGAACATCTTGTCCTTAGTTCCGAATGGTGGAATCTAAATCTTGACTTGTCTCTTTCAGGTTGACAAGTCTATTGCTGCAATGTATAAGAAGTTGCAGAAGAACTTAACATCTGAGGAACTGTTACCCTCTTTGTGGGACAAGTGCAAGGTAAGCTAACTTCAATTTCTAGAACTGCTCAAGGCTTTAGTATTTTTGCCAAAGCATTTCACAAAGTGGTTAATGAAGCGCATTGTGAATCAAATCTATAGCAAAGAGCATTATAGAAACCTGGGTAGGTTGTAGGGTGAAGGAAGGAGGGAGTTTATGGTTGGTTCAATCTGTTAGGTGCTGATTTGGTGATACATTGCTGGTTGCTTACTAGTTTTAATTCTTGCAAATTTGACAGAAAGAGTTTCTGGACAAGTATGATAGCTTTGCCCAACTTGTTGCCAAAATTTACCCCACTGAAACCATCCCCTCGGTCACTGAAATGAGAGAACTTCTGGCTTCCATGTAAAGGTAGAGAAATTTTCCGTGTGTATAATCTTTTGTGGTTCTATTTGGAGTAGAGAGCTATATTAGCTTGCTTCAATTATTCTTGTTGTTATTGTAATAGACAATTTTCCCTTACATATATCAATGTATTTGGAACTTATCCATTATATTCATTCATTTTCCGAAAGAAGTTAATGTTGTATCATGTTCAAATATAAAATAATGTTTGTCTGCTTTAATTTTCATGTTGTCTACAATGTTTCTTTTTCCGTTCATTCTTTCAATTATCTCTCCTGGATTGCACTAATTTACAATTGCTTCTTATCCACTTAAAAGGTGGATGGATCTCTCTTCCTCTAGGGACAAAGATGTCCATATTGTGATCTCTTAAATAACCAATGAAACAAAATCCGATTACCAAAGTTAGGTGTTAGAAAATAGTCATAAATTTCACATGAATTGTGTATTAAAGTCAACTTTGGGATATAAGTATTTTTATTACTTTAAACTTATGAGGGGGTTTTTTATGAAATAAAATCATGATATTTAATGAATTAAATAGATAATAGACTATAAGTTAGTATGAATTTTAATATTTGATATTCGGTATTAAAGTCAATTTTAAGATACTAACCATGTGTTATTGAAGACAATTGAAATTTGTTTAAGTGAAGAAACATGTAACAATTCAGAGAGAGAAATCATGAATTTTATATCGATTGTATATTAAAATCAGTTTGGATATGTATTCAAATTATTTTTAACTTGTGAGATAATTTTTTAACGAATAAAATTATGAAATATTTTTAATAAATTAAACAGATAATAACTCAAATTAATATTAACTATGACGATAGACGTGATATTAACGAACAGCCCCATCAAAATGAATTTTTTCTGCGCCTTTGGAGGGTATCGCGATGACGATGAAGAGTAATTTTCTCTCATTGTTTGAACTGTTGATCGCTCAGCAGCTTTATATTCAATCCTTAAATAACATTTGCAAACAAAATATGCCAAAGCAGTGCTCTGATTATCTCTAATTGGTCATTTTTCATGTACACAAGTTCAAGATAATTTATTATAAATAAGATAAATTTGAAGATGTATTAGTTATTATTATTATTATTTAAAAAAAAAAAAACGAAAAAGGAAAAAAGCCATAAAAAATTAACCAGATTAATTAAGTCCATCCATGAAATTGTTCCAAATCCAACCCATACTTAAACTAGTTTCAAACCCCTAATGGTTTTTAGTCCAGTTTAATTCCAAGGTCCATCTACGCCCATTATCATTCTCTCATCATTGGGCCAAGGGTTTTCAAGAGTTTGTTTTGTCCAATAGAGATTGCTCGGGGTTTAGGATATTAACATCATAATAATAATTCATTATTTAACATTCCATAATGAGCTGCCTCTATCAACCAAGCTCGTTGCCCTTTGGTTTCTCCTACAAGTTTTGATTGCTTTTGCCATGGATTCTGCTGCAGCCATGTATACTCTGATGATGAGGATGAAGCAGCTCTTGAAATCTATAGCGACGATCTCCGAGTCTCCACCATGAAGCGGAAACTGATATTGGCTAACCAGTACCATACTAAATATACTTGATGTTGAAGCTTAATTGTTCTTTTAGACCTTTAAGATTTTCATTTTTCTCATCATCTAATTAACAGCTGTGTCTATACAAATACAACTATATATCATTGATGCTACTAAAGGAATTACTGACCAAAAGAATTAAAGGTATCATCAGTATATAGATTTCTCGGCTATCTATCTTCCATGCTATTGCCAACTGAAAGCCTCGAGAGAAGGAATACACAAGCTGAGGAAAGAAATACAGCCCCAGCAAAGCACGCAAGATCCAAGCTAGTAACGATTGGTATACTCTTGAATTTCTCCAGAACTCCAACTTGAAGTATCATCATCACAGCATGCCCAAATTTTGACTTTGCTTGTGAAACTGATTTCATTTCAACCCAAGCCGGAAGAGTCTGAAGAATCATAGAGAAAATCATGTAAAATATTTGATGGTTAATTTGTTCTTGGTATGACAAATACAAAAGAAAGTTGAATACCTTCAAATGGAAGAGCCCAAACAAGTTCGATCTTGGAAGCGAGGGGGCACCTCCTTTTATAGTCTTTGATCCCATAAACAGGATGTACAGCCCCATCCCCAAAAATAAGCATGGCGGTTCCAACCAAGAACATATCTGCAAAGAATAGAAAATTTATCAAACGATGTTACTCAACTCAATAATGAACTTTGCAATATATGTATGAACGAAGGGATACCTATGGCTTCTATCAATACGTGGATGATAAGTTCTTGGTCCGACTTCTGTGATAAGCTATGAAAATAATGTAAAGATGACTCCAGAATGAGAACGCATCCCTCGATGAAACACAGTACTGATCCAAGTAAAGATCCCGCAACAGCAAATATGGTAAAGAATCGACAATCAATTATAACCTGCAGGCAGGATATTGCAGATGATAAATTTGATTGTTCTGTTTGCAAAGTAGAAAACATATGAAAAGCGAATGGATTAACAATCAAACCCTATTTTGATTATATAGAAATGACCCATTTAAAAACCTAAACACAGACAATTAACAAAGAATATATAAATGCAATCATGTATAAATAATTCTAGTAAATATTAGTGCTAACTAAAATGAAGGGATACTATACCTTTTCAATGAACATCTGAACGTGTAATTTCCAACGTCTTGGTTTGATAACCGGCCTCAGCACCTGTCGCATAGCATTAATAGCATTTGCGAGCAAAGATGCCAACTCTCTTCCCCAATCAACCTGTGGCTTTGATATGACAACGGTAGTACTCTTGGTTGCTGCCACAGAAGCCTTCACAGCCACCGTTGGCTTCCTCTCACTACGTTCGCAAACCTTCTTCTCCCCATTTAGCGCTCCTTCGCTTACACACCTCACAGTTTTCCCTGGCGAAGAAGGCCAAGAAGAAGAAGCAGAAAAAAGGCGGCCCAAAGGCTTGTTAGATGAACGCAACAATCTAGTGGTAGCCATTGGAATTGTTTTGAAACTTTTTTTTGGGGTTTCTCTTCATTTTATACCATGCAAATGAAAGAGAAGATTCGCAGCATATCAGATATTGTCGCCATATGGGGTGGGCTTTTATTGCACTTTTTCTTGGAGAGCAGGTTTTGAATTGTCGTATAAGAATTTGACGAACAATTACAAAGCCATTAGGCTCACGTTGCGCTTTTCAATTCTATGCGTGTGGACTCAGCTGAGCTGTGAACCGAACACTTGTCAGCCGTATCTTTAGGGGTTTGTTTGTTTTTTCTATTTTTTTATTCTCTTTGAAAGCATGGAACGAGACTGCTTGGCTGCTGGTGTTTCGTGCTTCCGTCGTCGAGGAAGAATAGTCGGCTGTAACACGTGCTGAATAGTAATGAGAGGAGCAAATCAAACAGCGCATTTCCAGGCTTACTGCCGTTAATTTGCTCTTCCACTTTGATCCAAGTTGTCTTTTTTTTTTTTTTTTTTGGGGGGGGGGGGGGGGGGTGGGGATGTGGGGGATTTCTGCTAAGGGATCTTATTTTGTCCTTTAGTCGTAGGATGTCTTTCAACTCTCTACGTTGGTTCACTTTTCACTTTACCTGTTTTGAAGTGTCTTGGTATCAGATCCTCCAATTAACCATCGTTGGGTCACTTTTCATGTTCAAATCTACATGTAATTTGAACGATTGTGGTGTTTAAAGTAATTTAATTTTCAACAATTTGGAGGAAAATATCCACAAAAATTTTCATCCATAACTTACAAGGGAATAGATTTTTCTTTCATCTTCCAAGGGAGAGGAATTTGAACGGTTGAATGTTTCCATGCCTCTAATCCTTCACAACTGTTAAATGAGTGTGTGGTGATCTTTGGGTAAAAAAAAACCCAAAAGGCTGCATTGAAATGTCAATGCAAAAGTTGCATCAGAGTTACACAGTATGAACTGCAGAGATTGAATGTAATACAGTAAGGCCAAGACGCAACTTCTTATCCAATAATCAACTCTCAAACAAAACCAGCCAGATTGGCCTATTGCGGTGAACCAAATCGTGAACCCAAAATTCAGGAAGAAAGGAATTGCCATTTCATGCAAAATTTTCATTGGAATTCCATTTAATGAAATCCGGGGATCAAGTAGAAAAGGAAAATGCCTCAAAAAATCACATAGACAAACTTTTTCTGTGATCAAGATGCGGCTCAAAAGTGCTTGAGACTCTATCACAAGACATGCCTCAGAAAATAAAAGGTCGTTTTAATATCATCATCGCCGCAAGTTCCAGGAATCTAATCTGCTTCTGAAATTCAGACATTAAATAACAATGACATGAAATCCAAAAATATTGCAGATATGGATGAATAGAGAAAGGCACAAGTTAAAACTCTATATTCACAATTTTCAGAAACAAGATATAGTTTCCTTTGGAAAAGCCTTTATTTTTCTCTTCATTTCACAAAATTACTCGGAAATCAAACAAAAATTCATAGAAGATAGATGACAAAAAAAAGAGGTTTTCTCAGACAAATGCCTCGATTTGTCCTCAGGGTGAAAGCCTTAGATAAAGAGATCAGACTCGTCATCATTTGTCATCATCACAGAGAAAAAAACCCACCAATTGCACTCATTAATCATCTATATACAGTAGATAAAACCAGCCCAAGCAGCTAATTGATGAACTTCAAGATGATTTTTTCAGTGTTTTTCATGAGTTAGCTTTATACCTAGTCCATTAGGGCTTCTCTGTTATCAACTGAAAGTAGAAAATAGACCTGAGTTAGCTTTATACCTAGTCCATTAGGGCTTCTCTGTTATCAACCGAAAGTACAAAATAGACCAGAAGTCAGCAAGTGAAATGTCTGATTTAACCTTAAGATTCCCAAACTATTTTCTCAACGAACCAACGGTCCAGATGCATTTACACATTTATTTCAACATTGGTTTCTTCGCTTCCAGAGGGGAATTAGCATTTCAGTAAAACCCCAATTTGTGTATAATGCTTTATTACAGAATAAGATATGATTCTTGCACCAAATTTGTGTTTCAGAACAATCCCAACAACATGCACAACCATTAAGCATCAAAAGGAACAGCGCCAACTCAACCAGGTAACTCAAACAAAAACAAAATTGTAAGTTCCTCTGTCTTTTCTCAAGCATTTTCACGAACTAATTCCATTCATATCCCCCAAAACTCAAGCTTTTTCACTTCAATTTCATAGGTGCGAGTGTTTTGATTTGCACAAGGAGCTTATTCCATATGGAAAGGCGTGGTCTTGGCAAAAACAAATTGTTAAACAAAAGAAAGCTTTGGTCCAAAAAAATGAGGATTGCCCAGATACATTAATCATTCTTCAGCATAACCCTGTTTATACAATGGGCACCAGTAGCTCGGAAAAGTATTTGAATTTTGACATAAAGGAAGCTCCTTTTGATGTTTATCGAACTGAACGCGGCGGGGAAGTTACATACCATGGGCCTGGACAGGTATAGTTTCAAAAGGTAGATGGCTACGAATGTGAAATTAATTTGATTTCAGGGTGATTTTCTATTTGGACTAACTTTTTTTTTACTGCCTTCGTTGAAATGTAGCTGGTTATGTATCCAATTATTAATCTCCGGAATCACAAGATGGATCTTCATTGGTATCTGAGGGCACTTGAGGAGGTGGTGATTCGTGTTCTTTCATCAACATTTTCTATTAAAGCTTCTAGGCTTGAGGGTTTAACGGGTGTTTGGGCTGGTAAGATTTCTTATCTCTTTCTTTCGATGCTTGATTTGTTTTCATTTTGTGATTCCTCTCTCTTCCTACTAGGTGTTTACATGAGATTGAAAGTTGCACTATTTACATCTTGGAGAATGGATTAACTGTACTCTTTCAATGTTTATAGGTTGTGGTTACATTTCTACTTATGCTTCCACAGTTTTTATCCCTTTTAAATGAACATTTACTGTAGGACATTGCAGGCTAAGGAAATAGGCATAGGGTTATCAATATTTACTTGTGAAGTGGGATGATAATGTTCCAAGGCAGAAAGGGATCAAAATGCATCCCTGCTAACCTGCATGGCTGCTTAACTTGTTCTCCGTTTGATTGTTAATTGCATTGTGTATGTTTTGCTGGAAGCTGTAAATGCAGGGAACAAATGGGTTTATAGACTCACCCCTCTCATGTTAGGCCTTCAATTAAAGGTAGCAATCTGTCATTGTGGTTTGTAATTCTCTTTACCAATCCAATATCCGCTATTGTTCATTTCCGATTGAGGGTCCTGACCTCAAGGGTGAGAAAGTCTCAAGCTTTGCACTTTTGTGTTGTCTAGCTGCTTGATATAGAGATGTGCCTGCCCTTGGCAAGACGAAGATTTCACCATCGTCCAAGACAATAACCCTTGTATCTATAGTACCACTGTCATTTTTCTAATCTAGTTTCATTAGAGTAAAGAAGCTTGGGCTCCTTGATAGTCTGTCCTGATCATTTCTTTTTAAAATTTTGCTACAGGAAATCAGAAATTGGCTGCAATTGGTATAAGAGTAGCTCAGTGGATAACATACCATGGGTTGGCACTTAATGTCTCCACAGACCTAACTCCGTTCAGTTGGATCGTCCCTTGTGGGTTACAGGACCGTCAAGTTGGAAGCATAAAGGGGTTACTTCAAGAATTTCAGTCATCTACAAGTGGTGAAACAGTTACACCGAGTCCTGATGATTATCGGTTGATTGATATCTCCTACAAATCCTTGATTACGGAGTTTTCTGAAGTTTTTAATCTTGAAATCCACCAAAAGGCCAGCCTTATGTCAGAAATTTGGGGAGAGAACCATTAACCAGATTGAAGGAGCTTGAAAGAATTGTAAACTGCCTCAAACCAATATACCGGTGCAGCCAGTGAGATATCTATGAATGCTTCTATTCCAGGTCAAGAACTAGTTTAGTTAACTCTTCTGTTCAATCTCCATAATATAGCACTTATCAAAATGAAAAAAAGAAACATTTTTTTGGTTCAAACATCAAAGCAGACAAAACAAATATTAATACACTAAAAATCAGAGACAAAGAGCCAAAGAAACATGCACTTTGACACATCTCCAATCCGAACATTTCCATTTCTTAGTACGATGTCGCCTGCAGGAGCCTGCAAATTTTGATAATTGGAGACAAGTGAATTTCTGGCTTTGATAAAATTAATGGAAAAAAAAAAAAAGAAAAAAACACAAATGGGATGGTGAGGTTTAACGTTAAAAATGTAAGAAACTTCAGTGAAATTTAGGAGAGATTTGCTTGCAGGTTGTTGAGAGAGGTTCCGATGATTGGACAACTTGAGCTTTGGGACAGGAAATCCAAGACAAACGGATTGAAGTTCCATGCTTTAGGGTTGTAGCAGAGTTCGTTTCAGCTGCTGGTTGTCATGTCACTGCTTAAACCCTCCAAGCACGAGGTGGTTGGTCAGTTGGAGAGTTGGGTTAGTTGTTCCGACCCTTTCCTTTCCACGGCAAACGTAACAATTAAAGGCCCAAGAATCAGCTTATATGGTTTTACTTATAACAATCTATGGCCCATGAATCAGCTTTTCGGCTCAGGCTGAACAGGGCCCAAAGTTTGCACAGACAAGGTTCTTTAAAAGCTGCTAAACCCGCATGCTAGAAGTGGATTAAGTCACGTGAAATTTATGTCTAGTTTGGCCGGTAGTGAGAACCAGCCGCAATCCAGGATAATGGGTCGGACGTCGAAGAGCTGCGAGCAGGGCAGCAGTTTTGGACTGTTGCCTTGAGTTTGACCCCATAACTTTTTAGACTTTCAAACCCTAATAATAATTTAAAAACATTATGCTCATCTTTTACTCTTTATTTTGGTCGACAGCTTGGCAATTTTTCAAGCACCTTGGTCCTTGAAATTGTTCGTTTATGTAAGAATAATTGAACATGGCATAAAGCAAGATTTTCACTGTTCTTTTGAATAATCGAGGGCTGAGATTAATAGTTTTGGCCACCCTTTACGATCAAATGGTTCAACTTCCAATTCTAAGCTTGAAAGCGTCGGTTACTTATCCTTTCCATATCAAGAAAAATCACGTATTTGGCATGGAATTTTGACGCCAGGGCAGTCAGACTATCAGTTTCTTCCTATACCTTTTACCGCGTTGATTAGCCAAACTAATTCAGGGTTTATGGCTGTGAAACGTGGGAATTCATGTAGGAAAATGCCTAGAAAGTGAGATTCCAAAATCACATAAAAATATAAAGATTAGATAAAACATCATGATGATGAATAGATAGGAAATATCAAAAGAAACCTGAATTGGGTATTTAACCAGTAATTAACATCATGGGAAATATGGCCCCAAAAATGCTAAGTATTTAACTAGTAATTATATCAAGATTGAAATTACCCTTTGTTTAGTAAAACAAATAGCATTATAACCCAAATTTAAAATTTTCTTAATACAAAAATTTAGATAGATAAATTATTCAATCTTTTAAATTAAAATATAAGATACCATACTTTCACAAAATGCATTTAAGATGAATTTATATGCTTAACCAAATTTAAATTTTGTTGTTATGTCAAAGATCCAATCAATAACTTTTTTATATCTTTCTTTCATTATTCATCCAATTGAGATTATTATTTTTTATTTATAATTCTATTCATCAAATAGATTTAAATCTAAAGCAATATCTTTAATAAATATATATAAAAAAATTATTATATTAAATCTTTTAAATTTTGAATGAATTTTCTTACCACTTCAATGCAAGACCTATCTCACACGATCCACGTTTCCATTCAGTCACATATGTACCGCTTTAGTTGTTACATTAATTAATAAATTAATCCATGATGATCAGTGACTCCATCCATGCGTAACTACGACATTGACAATATATAAAAAGTTAAATATATATAAACAATATAAAAAATTTTTTAATCTATCTTTAATCCCACCACACTATTACATATATGACTAAAAAATTATATATTTAAATTCTCTTGTAACTTACAAATAGAAACTCCAATGTAACGCCAATGACGTAGCCAAACGTGCAGTTGAGTTGATGATTCAACACAAAATATTGCACACCTTTCACAATTGGATCAAGTTATTGCGAGCACTATTCAAGTCACCGGCCTGGCCTCTCACCTCTTTCCACTAATTTTGTTATAAATAAAGACTCGGCTCTGACTTCAATTTGCACCCCACTTTAGTTTATTATCACACCTGTGGCGAGCGCCGACCCACCTTTACGTTTTTGATTAATTTCTCTTTGTACGTCTAACCTTTTAGTTTTTGATTAATATCTCTTTTTATGTCTGTTAAGATAAGCCATAACCATCTTGGAAGAAGCTAATTGTTATTCGATCCTAATGGCATCTGCTTCTTTTCCTTTTACTTCTGTTCATCTGCAATTTAATTCACCAAACAAATCGTTGTCATCATTACCTACAACGACGACTAGGTTGTCTACGCGTCGGGTTGTCGTCCGGCCGATTAGAGGATCAGTGTCGGAGAAACCATCTATACCAGCGCCGCCAGTGGCGGTTTCAGAGCCTGGAAAACCCAAGCTTCCGCTGAAGAAAATTCCAGGGAATTATGGGGTTCCTTTTGTTGGTCCAATCAAAGACCGACTTGACTATTTCTACAACCAGGGTCGAGACGAGTTTTTTAAATCAAAAATCCAGAAATACCATTCAACGGTGTTTCGAACCAATATGCCACCGGGTCCTTTCATCGCTCCTAACCCAAGGGTTGTCGCTTTACTTGACGGTAAGAGTTTCCCTGTTCTTTTTGATGTGTCCAAAGTTGAAAAAAAGGACCTTTTCACCGGTACTTACATGCCTTCAACCGACCTTACCGGTGGCTACCGAACCCTTTCATATCTCGACCCTTCCGAGCCCAAACACGCCAAGCTCAAACAACTTATCTTTTTTCTCCTAAAGTCTAGCAGAGATAAAGTGATCCCTGGGTTTGAAGCCTCTTACACCGAGTTATTTGAAAAGTTAGAGAAAGAACTTGCTCAGAAAGGCAAAAGCAGTTTTCAGACAGCTAATGATCAAGCTGCGTTTAACTTCTTGGCTCGGGCTTTCTTTGGTTCAAACCCGCCTAATACTAAACTAGGAGTTGATGGTCCAAGCTTGATTAGTAAATGGGTAGTTTTTCAACTCGGTCCTGTTCTCTCTCTTGGTCTCCCAAAGTTTGTTCAAGAACTCCTAATCCATACTTTTCCTCTTCCGCCGGTTCTTGTTAAAAAAGATTACCAGAGACTCTACGATTTTTTCTACGAGTCATCTGGTTTCGTTCAAGATGAAGCTGAGAAATTGGGTATCTCACGAGAAGAAGCTTGTCATAATCTGTTATTCGCCACATGCTTTAATTCTTTAGGTGGCATGAAAATTTTCTTCCCCAACATGCTTAAATGGATTGGCAGAGCTGGAGTCAAACTACATACTGAATTAGCACAGGAGATCAGATCAGCCATCAGATCCAACGGTGGGGAACTCACCATGGCTGCCATGGAACAGATGCCATTGATGAAATCTGTTGTATACGAAGGGCTCCGGATCGAACCTCCCGTCCCGTTACAGTACGGGAAAGCAAAGAAAGATCTATTGATCGAGAGCCACGACGCCGTTTTCGAAGTGAAAGAAGGGGAGATGTTGTTCGGGTTCCAACCTTTTGCAACCAAAGACCCGAAAATATTCGAGAGATCTGAGGAGTTTGTCCCTGACAGGTTCATGGGTGATAATGAGGAGAGGCTGTTAAAGCACGTGCTTTGGTCGAATGGACCCGAGACTGAGCAACCAACGTTAGGTAACAAACAGTGTGCCGGAAAGGATTTCGTGGTGCTGGTGTCTAGGCTTTTCGTGGTGGAACTGTTCAGGCGTTACGATTCGTTTGATATCGAAGTCGGTAAATCAGCTTTGGGGGCTGCCGTTACGGTGACATCGTTGAAGAGAGCAAGTTTTTAGATAAATTTTTAGGTTTGTCAATGATTAACTTGGCAAGTCATTAATGTAATATGTTATCATAAGGAAATTAGACATATTTTAGGTAAATTTGTTATGGTGCATTTAGTTTTGGTAAATTTACCTCCTTTTATTTCTTGCAATGCCATATGACTTTTGTTTAATATAAATAAAATTATCATAAATTAAATTTTTATCCATTTAAAAATATTTACAGATAAAATAAAATTTTGATGATGTAATTACGATAAAAACATTAGATAAAAACGTAAACAATGTTCATATTTAACATATAATGTTCATATTTAACATATAAAATTATTGATAAAATAATATAATAATTATTTTATATTATATTTAATATATATTTAATTAAAAAAATAAAATTATATAAAAAATTATCGTTCTTTTAATGTAAAATGATTTAATTTTTTTTAAATAAAAAATAAATTTTAATTTATAAAATTAAAATTATATATTATATTATATTTTTAAAAATTAAATTAATATTTTAAATTATATAAATTTAAAAAATAATTTTATTTGTTTATTTTATTTTATTGTATTATAATTTTATATAGATTTACGATACTAATATTAGTGCACTGCTTTTTTATTTGGGATTGACCAAATAAAAAGTAGGAAATTGGGTGTTGAAATTTCCAAGAAACGAGAGGTGCGTGTGTCCTCGAGGCCGGTAAGTTGTTGTAATCTGCGACAGCCGTTGCAATCACTTTTGATGCGATTGACTCTTTGGTTGGTTCACAAGTTAGCCAAAAAGAACAGTACTCTTTAAGGACTTTTCCTTTTGACTAATGTGGATTTTTACAGCAGAGCCGGTGATGTAAGAGCTTTGATTAAACTGTGTTTTTGAAATCTGAAATTCAACTGGTTCAAAAAGAGGAAATTGACGCCCTTGACAAGGAAAACTGGGTAGGATTCGACTGTACTCTTGGCATTGGCTGTGGTTTTCGGCCTCAGATACCCTAATTTCTAAAGACATAAATGCATGAATTTTTTTAAATTCATAGTATCTAAATGTCAATTTTAATAATATATCAAATAAAAAATTCATGGACATGTTGAAGCTGGAAATGCATTAAATTTGCTTTTCTTATTATGTGGGGGAATTGCTTTTGCTGTTGGGACCCCGTGAATCGATGAAAGAAATGTGACGGTAGTGCTCAAAAGGAAAATGCGCCGTCCCACGACCCACTCAAACTGTCCCTTTCCAAGCATCAGGATCAGGAATACGGTTAGCAATAGGTCGGAGTTAGGACGCGATAAGTTTTTATTAATTTTGAATTTGTTTTGATTTTATAAATTTAATATTTAAATGTAATTTAATTTGATATTAAATTATTATTTTTATATTTAAATCTGACTCAATTTATATATATTTAAATTTATAATCAATTTTATTTGGTTAAAAATTAATAAAAATATTAATTTTTAATATAAAATATTAATTTTTAAATATAAATATAAAATTAAATAAATAATAAAAATATATGTATTAAGTTGGATCGAAATAAATTTACATACAACTTGATATAATTTTTCTTTAAAAATATTTGATTCAACTCAAAACTCAGACTAAAAAAAATTGGATTTCCAACCCTAATCAGGTTATATTCTTCCTTAAACAACCGGAAAACAAACCAAAACTTAAACACGGCGGATTGATTATGATCATTTATTCATTTTCTTGAGTTATTCTAATTTAACTCTTGAATCATTTATTTGCCTTAACGGCTTACCATTTACGCTGATTTTTTTTTAGAATTGGGCCTTAAGGAACTAAAAATCAGACATGAAAGCCCATATTCCGCATAATCGTAAGGGCAGATTTCCAAACAATTTTGGAAATGCCAACTTCAATTTTGCAAGAAAAATAGTACACTATTCTACACACAAATCCTTGTTTCATCAATCTGAACAATAGTAGATTTGCCAGTTCTGCTTTCGCTAACTTATAAAATTGTGCAAAAATTTATCATAAGCCAGACGGATTAAACCTGTAAACAGTTACAATTGAAGAGCAGCAAAAGCGTCATCTACCCACCTTATTTCATGGACCGAAGTTTTATTATCGGTTTTCACCGGTAACGATGAGGCAATAAAAGACTGCAGTTCGGACTTGACGTTGTTCATACGCTTACGGTGACGAATCCTCCTCAAAACCACTTCTTTATCCATGGTTTGCTTGGAATGACTTGGCTTTATGTAGGGATGGCTAGTGACAGAATCCATCTTCCCTTGCTCTTCTTGATCACCTTCAGCGAAGGTGTTGTTATCGTCCTTGTTGATGATGTTCTTCTTAGATTTAGAAAGAGGCATTTCTGAGGCGCTTAAATAGATTAAAGAGAGAGGAACGAGTGCGAGTTGGGCAAGGGGAGTATTTACAGTGGAGAAAGATTTGAGCATTTATTAAGGAATTAATTTGGTCAGTTTGGTGGGTTCGAGGCGCCATTGGGAAATGATTTGCTATCAGATAGCAGAATCCATCGTTTTTGAGGTAGTGGTTTTCGGGCTTCCCGCTGAAAATAGTGTTATGATGTTATTTTTATGTCAGAAATCTGGGTTTTCGCCATGTCATGCTAAGATGAACTTCACTAGGATTTGGTTGGTCTTCCGGGAATCTTTGCGACGTGCATCATAGGATGAAATGGATTTTTGATACTCGATTTGATTTTACATTCTTAAATTTGAATTCCATTTAATTTGTATAAATTATATCTGATTTGATTTTAAATTAATAAAATATTATTTTTTAAAATATAAAATATTATTTTTTAAATATAAATATATAAATAAAAAATTAATTTAAAAATTATTTTTATATAATATCAAATCAAATTAAATTTATCTAAAATTTAAATCTAATCCGATCCTAATCTTTCTTTAACATTATTCAATCCAACTCAAAATTTAATTTTATAAAATCATATCATATCAAATAAGAACGAGTTAAGTTAACCAACCTAATCATGCACGGCTTTTTTTGTACTTTGTTTCTCCCTGGTGTACAACCTTTCTCTTGGGAATATTTAAATCAACAATAAAGCTCCATGTCTAAAGAATCAGATTCCAACAATAAAACTCGCTGTATTTTACATTTTATTTTCTTCTGGTAGCCTAGATATATATCAATTTTATTTTGTATAAATCAACAATGTCAATAAGTATATACCACCATAGTTTTTTGTTTCTATCATTTTGAATTTTGCAAATGAACTTGAACTTCGTATAGGACACAATTGAAAAAAATTGCAGGATTAGCGAATATGAGCATCATTAAACATGATTATTCTTTGGGGCCTGCTGTTGATTAATAGTCATAAACAATGTTACTTGTTCCTGTTTTAATTTTAGCTGATTAAAAACCCAGCTATATAATGCATTTCATTTGGATTTGCGCCTCCTCAAGGCAATAAATGGAAATAAGTTGGCCTCCTTGGTTTCAGCCCAACCTACTCCAGGGAATTTGCGTTTGTAAAAAGATATGCTGTGGGAAATTTGGACAGGCTTGTCCCAGAAACAAAGGGCGTTTCCCACAAATAGACATAGCTGTGGCGCAGAAACAGGTGGCCTTAGAGCAGTGGCAGGTAGATTGGTCCATAACCTATTAGGAGTAGAAGCCTTAAATGTACCAGTGACATGACCAAGGTTCTAGGAAAATGACATTGAAACAACAATCACACTTTCTGTCTTTTGTACGTGGCAGTTAGATAGTTCGTCTTGGTATTGCTCCACATCTGTCGCCTGTCATAAATTATAGCGTTAAACTTAATCGATTTCAAATAAATTTTTTATTGAATTCAAATGAATATAATATTAAATTTAAATTTAACTGTAAATTTAAAATTTAATTTAAATTCAATTTAAATTTTATTTTTAAGTTTAATTTGATATAAAAATTAAAATTAAAATTATTTTATTAAATTTAATTAATATATAAAAATAAATTTAATTATAATAATTAATTAAATTTTGATTATCATATTTGAATTGGAGTTAGAATGCAAAATATTTCATTAATTAAAATAATTAAAATATAAAAAAATTAATTAATTTCGTGAATTATTTAAATTCAGTATAAAAAATTTTAGTTTAACTTAATCGATAAGTCAAATTATTTAAATTTAAACTAAATTTAATAATAACTAAATAAAATTTAAATTTTATTTGAATTAAATTCAAATTAATATATTATTTATAACTCTATTATAAACTAAGAATAGAATTTTTCTTGTTTCATCATTTTCTATTGGCTTCTTCTCCCTTTTAGCTTTCTCAGCCATTTTAGGCTGAAGCTACAGATTTTGTCCCTGTGCCATTTGCATATCTAGTCGCGAGGGATTTTACTGCCTCAATTATTTCCGCTGCTGGAATCTAAAATCTGTAACAGAAACCCTGCTTCAATCATTTCGAGTTGAGCACAAATGAAAGGGGTGATTTGATTGATAGCCATTTTCTCTAATGTCCAATAATTAATGGAACTCTGATTTTCAAGGTGTGGCATAGTGCCCCGACAGTTGGAGAAAAGAGGTTCCTTCTTTCCATGTTGTTTGTGATAAAACAGTGAACACGATGCTTGTGGGTATCGTTGATACCTTATCAAAATCAAACAGGGGTGGCGTTAGACTTCAACCACCAGCAGAGATACAGAAAACGAATCTTCAATGTAACATGTTCTGTAGACTTTATCAAAATTTGATGCAAAAAGTACATAGTGGCTGGATTTTGTGTTGGGTTAAAGATAAGTAGAATATGTGAACGTTGGACACTCATCACTTCACTATATAATCCTCAATTTTACTTAAAAGAAAATAGCAAATCCCTATTGTATGCTTATGTCTTTTAAGCAACTTTTTTCTTGCAGGGCAAACAGAACTTGCACTTTACTACTTTAGTTTTGCCTTTGAATTGTTTATCCAAAGATAGAAAAATGGAATCATTGCAAATTATTGCATTTCCCTCTCCATTCATTAATCCACAGTGTTACTTTTTCTTTTTACGTTCAAAATCTTGCTTCTCCCTGTCTAATAATTGATGCCATTATCATAGCCAGAAGAAGGAACTAAAAGGGACAAATTACTCCAATTATTTTTCAGGGCCTCGTATATTTTCCAACTCATACTTTTCTATTCCTTTTAGCAAACAGGGAAGGTTGTCTTAATATAGAAATCAAATCCTATAAACAGAAATTAACCAACCACCATACAAATAAAAACAACCCAAATCGCAAATAATAAAACTATCAAGCACGTTATTATTAGAAAAGGGACCCCGGATTCCCTGGACGCATGCCCCTTTTTCTATATGCAACTAATACATGTCATCCGCACACTTGTAAAAAATATGATAGCCCCAAATCTCCTCCACCGTTCCTCTACAACTCCGATAATTACAATGTATATACAAGCATGCAATGCAAATGCAACCATTTTCTACCCTCTCCCTCGCACCGGACTTGTTTTTCTGATATTTTCTCAACCTCCGAATCCCTCCTGTCCATCTTCTCTTCTTTATTTCCCTATATTTAGAATTTGCTTTACTCTTTTGGGATTGGGATGAGAGAGACAGGAGGGGGCACAATGTTCGCTGAGGCTGATAGCATTCCAAGAGGCAAGTTTGGCAACAGTGCGCATTCTGATCCTAACATTTCCATGACTGCTCCTGTAAATGAAGATGATTTGGGTATGAGTTACAGCAGCGCATCCGCTGCAGGCCTTGCCTTTTATGAAAGCAACAGGTTGAGTGGCGAAGGCTCACCCTTGACTATGTCACCATGGAACCAAACCACTCCTTTCAAAAAGTCTTCATGGACCTCTTTCGACGAAGACAACATGCCAGCGAATAGTCTGATCGGCTCGCTTATACGTGAAGAGGGCCATATTTATTCCTTAGCAGCCACAAAGGATCTCCTTTACACTGGCTCTGATAGCAAGAACATTCGTGTGTGGAAGAATCTTAAAGAATTTTCTGGCTTCAAATCAAACAGTGGGTTGGTTAAGGCCATTGTGATATCCGGTGAAAAGATTTTTACTGGTCATCAAGATGGGAAGATTCGCGTTTGGAAAATCTCTCCTAAGAACCCTAGCGTTCATAAACGAGCTGGAACTTTGCCAACTCTCAAAGATATCCTTAAAAGTTCCATTAAACCAAAAAATTACGTGGAAGTGAAACGTAAGCGCTCTTTATGGCTCAAACACTCGGATGCGGTGTCGTGTTTGAGCATGAACGAGGAACAAGGTCTTCTTTACTCTGCTTCATGGGACAGAACCTTCAAAGTTTGGAGAATCTCTGATTCCAAATGTCTTGAATCAATTCATGCACACGAGGACGCTGTTAACTCTGTCGTTTCGAGCTTGGGAGGAATGGTTTTTACTGGGTCAGCAGATGGAACCGTCAAAGTGTGGAAAAGGGAACAGCAGCGGAAAGGAACAAAGCATACATTAGCTCAAACTCTTTTACAACAAGAATGTGCGGTTACAGCGTTAGCAATCAACACCCCTGGTTCAATAGTGTATTGTGGCTCCAGTGACGGTCTGGTCAATTTCTGGGAACTTGAAAAGCAATTATCCCACGGCGGGCTCCTTAAAGGACACAAGATGGCGGTTCTTTGCCTTGAGGCAACAGGGAATTTGGTGTTTAGCGGATCAGCTGATAAGACTATATGTGTTTGGCGTAGGGATGGCAACATCCACACATGCCTTTCGGTGCTAACAGGGCACACGGGGCCAGTGAAGTGCTTGGCTGCCGATAAGGACCAGGAACCAGGGAATGAACAGCGGTGGATTGTTTACAGCGGAAGCCTTGATAAGTCCGTGAAGGTATGGAGCGTTTCGGAGTTTGCTCAGGTGGCAACGGTACAGCAGAATCAGCAGCAGGGGAGCTATGATAGGGAGTCTGTCCCATCTGATGGGAGCCACTCGTCCACCAGCAGAGCCAGCCAGAACTGGAGGAACTGATCCCAATGAATTCCGGGTCTTCCATTTTGAGATACTGATACAATCTTTTGATGCCACGTGCACATGATTTGTAATAAAAATTTGTTATGTTTGACACGTGGAATTGAGGGGGAGCAGGTCTGTGGCTGGGGTTTGCATGACAGAGAGGGGAGGGATCATTTTAGGATTTTTCCATGGGTATGTGTTAGAGTAAAGATTGTTGTGGAATTCGACTTGATGAATTTGGTTATGCTACAAAAAATGGAGACAAATTAAAGTAAAGCTTTCTTAAAAAAAATCCTTTTCTTTTATTTTATGTCCGTCAAAATATTCAGGGAAGATTGTATATTCATCCAACATCATGGATGGGTATGCATAATCCTGAATATATATAAAAATATAGATATTCCTCAACGATTACAAGGATATCTGCTTCACATTACTGTTTACAAATATATATTTGATGGTAATATCCCAGCCAAAATTTCCATCAATAGCCTGAACTGTGACAATGGAATCGAATCGTACAAGCATCAGTTCCCTCTTTGACTGTCGAATTAATTCAGTGCGAAAGCCTTCGAGAGTGGCGTCTCCTAGATTCAGGTTGCGTTTGAGTTCTCAATCCACGCAAATGGCCGCTTCTATTGCCAATTGAGTTCAGGTCTAAACTCAGTGGATTGCTCATATCTCCTCCTTCAAGCATTCTAAGTACCTAACAATTTGTAAATGACACAAGAAATTTCTTAATTTCAACACCTAGCTCAGGAAATGACTTGGAAAGCTCCTGAACAACAGGTTATGGAAAGAAGGGATTATGAAATGATTTAGAAATTGAAGGACAACATAGCATACCTTTGACATTGGTGGTCTTGATTCCGGATCATGACTTAGGCACAAGAAAGCAGCACGAGCCATGGCCTGTAGTTGATGACTGCAGTCCTGGACTTTGCTGGAGGCTAAACATGGATCAAGTAACTGGTAAATATTTGTCATTATTTGGTTTGAGTCTAATGTAGCTAGAGGGTGGAACCATTCATATAAGAAATTCTGTCCCTTGTAAAATCGCAAGTCACTGATTCTTTGGCCTGTCATTAACTCTAATAGCACCACTCCAAATGCATAAACATCAACTGTTTGTGTAATCCTTCCACCATCCAAATACTCTGGTGCAAGATACCTGGATTTAGTCATTTTCAGCTCCATTAGAATGATAGGAATGTTCAGAAGATAAATAAATATTTACTGTGTAGCTAAAACGGGCCCAAAAAAAAAAAAGGATGAAAGAGACTTAAGAGATAGGAAAATAACGTATTCAGAAATTACCCTGTACTTCCGATGGCTTGCTCCTTGCTTCCAGCAATCAATTGATCAGAATGCCATCTAGCGAGTCCAAAATCGGTAACCTAAAGAGACAAATAAAAAAGTTAAGGCATAATTTAATGTTATAAAGGAAAAAAAAAGAACTTATAGACCAGTTATACATGTTATTATCAGGAATCTACCGAATGATAAAGCAATGCTCCTCAACAATATGAATATCCGAAATGAACCTTGAGTTCATTGACAGAATTTGCCTTTTAGCACAAAAAATCCGTATTAATCAGCTATGATGAAGGTGAAGTTATCCAGCCAAAAACCTTTCTACAAAGAATTTCTAATTCTATCATGGCCTTAGTATTTAGCCACTAGACTGTACTTTTCTTTAAGATGAATTCAGGTCCAAATACTAATTGAAAGTACCTGAGGCTCAAAATCATGTGTTAGGAGAATATTTTTGGGCCGCATATCTCTGTGTACTATGCAACCAACTCTACAATCTTCATGAAGGTATCGCAAGCCTCGTGCTGCTCCAATTGCTATTCTTAGCCGTGATTGCCAATCTAGAGAGGCTCTGTTGCTTCCTGTCAACCAGAAGTAACCGATATTATTTGAGAGACAAAGGTTCCAAATGCAAATAGACAAATGGAGCATACAGAAACCAAAAGATTGTACAGGAGCCTATTAACGATATGATATTAAAAGAAATAAAAATGAGAGAATGAATACCATGTAAATGGAAATCCAAGGATCCATTGCATATGTACTCATAAACCAAAACTCTCTTGGTGCCATCAATACAAAACCCTATTAGCAACACAACATTCCTATGTTGTGCACAGCTTAAAACCTGCACCTCCCTGCAGAAATTAATATCTGCTTGACAACTGACAAACTTTAACAGCTTCACTGCAACCACTTGACCATCTCTTAAAATCCCTCTGTAAACAACACCAAAATCACCTTTTGCCAAGAAATTCAATTCGGAAAATCCATCTGTAGCTTCCTCTAGCTCCTTATAAGAAAACGGTCTTGGGGGTTTGCCAAAGACTGGCGCCTTGTGTTGACATGATGAGCACAGGGGTGGAGGTACTGAGGATGTTCTGCCTAACGCAACTGCATCCCTAATGTTTGAGCTAACCATGTAGTCTTTGCCATGGCTTTGAGTATCATGATCATATCGGACAAACTTGTCAAGCAAGGATTTGGAACTAGAAGAGATGACTTTATTTCTATTGCTTTGGGTTTTACGAGGCTTTTCATCAATTGGATTTTGGGGAATCCATGGTATCCTCTTGTCATTACTTTTTACAGAAGACTTGTTTTCTGATAGATTTATAAGCCTTTCTCCACGTGAATCAAGAAGAGTAAGTTGCTTATCCAAGTTGTTCTGATAATCTAAGAAAGTGTAATTTCCTCTTTTCAGCCTTTCAAAAAGGGGATTTTGTTGATAGACCAGGAAAATAGAAGCTGCTGAATCAGAACTTGGTAGCAATCCTTCTTTGCTTGTTCTTGAATGAGAAGTACTTGGTTCTTCTGGACTGCTGACTGGAGTAGAATGCTTCATCCTGAGGCCTAGGTGGTCTCCAGCATACATAGCTGGAGAAGCAGCAGCAGAGAAATAGGGAGTTCGAAGTTCATTTATGCATTGTAAATTAAGCCTGAGAACTTTCGCTTCAGAACCTTTCATCACTACAATGTTGCAGTGAAGTTCATCCATGCAATGTTTCAGCTCTTGCTTTAGTTTTCTGATCCAAAACTACTCTTTGTAAGTTTACACAAAAAATAACTTCAAATTTAGGATAATATGAGCTTCTGCCATGCCAAATTGTTTTGATGAAATTTTACAAACCAAGCTAATTATTATTATATAGGTTAAAATACTAAAAAAAAACCCCTGAACACAAAAACTAATAGCTTAGAAACAAGAAATAATACTTGTTTTTTTAATGTTTAATTACTTGTCCAGTATCACCCAGTTGGCTCCATTGTTCTTTGCTTCAGCTGCCACTGCACTGACAGTTGTACCTGACACCACCTTAATTCTCACAGTAACCTGCAATTAAGAACTCACAATTAACCATATTTAACAGACAAATTCTTCCCAGAACAAGAGTTGGATTGCCATTTGGCAACTAAAAGAAAAAAGAAAATTCATGTAATCAATGTAATTTTAGCTACCATCCCAAAAATTGAGAATTATGAAATTTACGTGGAATTTTAGGGGATCCACTTCATGGACCATATAGAAAATTCAAGATTAACATAACCCCAAATAAAAAAATGAGGTGCTTAATAATGTTGATTGGTAATAATGCTACTGATCATGCACATGCCAATGCCATTCAACCATCCAAAGTCCAAACAATCTCTCCAATCATTAGCTTTTTATGTTTCCATCTGAGGTAGGACTTAAGCCCTGTTTGTGTTCCAGGAATCTTCTAAACCCCGACAACTAAACCAGTTAGTAGATCCATTATATGTTCAATGCTCTTGCTAGGCAAGACAAATGGACAAAAGAGTCCATATACCGCCACATGAAAGAAGGTAATTCAACGTGGGCAATTAAGTAACTTTGACATTAATTACCTCGATCTGGTTATGAAACTGAAGTACCATTTGAGAACATGACTCGGAGATCTGACAAATCTGTTCTGGTAACTCTTCCCGAATATTGCTCCCGCAATCTCCAGTCAGCATCGGGAAATTCCAAAATCTTTTACCTTAATCAAATTAAAGAAAAAAAAAGTCATTACTTGAACTCTCGAGCAAACGAAGCAGCCGGGCTAACGATAAAAACTAACGAAAAAGAAGAAAATTTTGACAGAATTACCTTTATTTTCACCAGGAAAGAGAGCGAGTAAGGTAACGCAATTGCCAGGACGAACAACATGAGTCAGAGCCCAAGCCAAGGCGGTTTTAGAGATAACCCGCTCTGCTCTGACGGCAACAACAACTGTTTCTATCGCTAGGCTGGTGGTGGAGCGTTGCCTAAGGCTCAGGTCCATCTTTCCTGGTGGAAATTAAGGTGGACAAAAGCCTAGTAACCAAGTTCGAGCGCTGGAGTAAAATCAGAGTGGTTGTGCAGACTTCAGAGTTGGTTTTTTGGGAGCATGTGATGGAGTTGGTTGATGGGTTGGCTTTCATAAGGAGGGCAGGGGGCATAGTTTGGTTTAGTCGTGTGTTAGTGAGCTATAGCAGATGGGATCTCATTTGCTTTAAAAGATCGAACGTTTAGCATCGTGATCACGTCGTTAAAGGTCCTCAATACATGACAATATGTCTAAATTAGTATAACCAGCCTTCCTGATGGTTATGACTTATGAGTGGATCAAATCCAATGTCTCCATGACGGCAGCTCAAGACAAAAATCAGAGACAGGATTAGACTACAAAAGCAGGCTCCTGTCTCTCATGCGTTTCGCAAATAAAACATTGTTAATTTCATAAAAAAAATTTATTTCATATGCCAAATTCAAAGAAAATAACAATAACTATATCATAGTGGTATTCGTTTTTTTTTTTCCTCAAAATATTAACCAATTGTTGATATGTTCATATAAGTTTGCTTTTCAAGTTTGATTTCACGGTTAATTACAAATGAAAAATTTTACAAATTTTCTTTTTTGATTAATTAGTTGGCCCATACTCCATATAAATGAATTTCCATAACAATTCCTTGGATTGGATTCACTTATCCATTGTATCAAAATTCTTTTCTTACTTTCTAGTTCCAGCCTGAGGATAAGACAAACATGAATGCACCTTTCATTTTCCGTTGATAATCACAGAGTGAAAGTGAGGTTTTTCCCTGGTAATTCACTCGCTACTGGATGAACTTTAGAACTAGAAAGTCAAGCCGACCCTGGAACATGCAGGTTAAGCTAAGCCCCACTTTAACTTGTAAGTTTTAAACATCTCCCCAGAAGGAAAAAATGGAGTGAAAACAAATGAAAATGACTGGGGATAGCTGTCTAGTCAATTGAAGGAAGCTGCAATGTTTCTCCATTTGTAAGGTGACCATCAAGCATGGATAAAGCCAGCTTCCGGTTTAAATTGGGAGATTCCCTCGATGAGGCTACATCTCTGTTGATGCATATGGACACGATGACCAATGATTTGTAAATTGTAATCGATATATAGGAAGAATAAGAAGGATGCAAGAACATTGATCAAGGGTCACGACAAGGTAACACTAGCACACCCATGTGATGATAGTAATGAAATGGTTGCGATCTTTTAAGGACCACGTTAGGGTTGATGATGTATTGAAAATTGAGTGATGGGCGATTTTCCTGTCGATGTCATGTCTTGTCATGATGGCCGGCCCTTTTATGAGCTAGTTATCAAATTGCCTTGGTAGAGGAGGATTTCCCGAAAACGGATGTTTTGCTGATCCAAGCTAATGAAGCTATCAGCACTGTGGAAAATTCAATGACGTTCCTGTGTCATTCAAGACTCTGCATGGGTTCTAATTCGAGTTAAAGGTATATGTTGGTTTTTTTTAAATGAAATAAAATAATTGCAACATAATTTGGAAAAGAATTTTAAAAATAAATGTATAATGTACAGCAATAGGCAAGCTAATGAACCAAGAAAAAATAGCCCGTGTCCTGACCCAAATAAAAAGGCAAAAAAATAAAATAAAACCAGTAGGCCCATATCTTTGGACAGCTCTTTTTACTTTACTTTTTTTTTTCCCTTTTTTCTGCTTCATTTTCTGTCGTAAAAAAGGTTGATATATATTTCAATTTTGTTCTTATTTCTTTCTTCCAAAACCTTCCTTCTTCCTTAAATATCTTTCTTTTATTCTTCCTTTAATTCTGTAGCACGATTTTTTTGTTCGCAAAGATATTCACCTCACAATAGTCAGAAAATATATATTATATATTCAGTGTTGAGGTATCATGGACGCAACCTCAAAATTTTCAAATCACATCCACAGTCCCCTGAAACTCTTAAATAAAAGATGAGATAAGACATAGCTTTGATTTTCTATAGAAGTGATAATAATTCGGATTAGATCGAATTCGATTTTATTTTTTTAAATATTATGTAATATTATAAATTTTTTAAATTCGATTCGAATCCGATTTGAATTGAATTAAATTTTATCGGTTCGATTCGGTTTGATTTATCGATTTTTAAATTTTTAAAATTTTTATTTTATTATATTATTTTAATATAAAGTTTTAATATATTTAAGTAGATTTTGATATAAAATTATTATTTTTATTTTATAAAAATTTAAAAAATATATAAAACTAAAAAAATATATATAATTTGTTTCAATTCGATTTTTTTCGGTTTTTCACCTTTTGATCCAAAATTCGATCAAAACCTAATATACACATTTAATATTCTAATTTGATTCAAACCGAATATAAAATATTCGTTCGAATCGAACCAAACACTATAATTTTAAATCAATTTTTGGTTTTCTCACCTTAATTTTTGATAGGTATAGAATAATAAGAAAATGATAATTGTTTTTTAGCAAATAGAAAAGGACAATTTATAGTTTAAAACTAAATCTATAAGAATATATAAAAGCAGTCCCTGCTTTTATTTTAACATTTATTTTATATAATAACTCATCAATGTAAAAAAAAAGATTTGAAAGATATTTTAGGAAGATACAAAAGGTAGAAGCTTCTAGAGATTTGTTGAAAAAAAACAATAGCTTGGAAGAATAGATGTGCCATTAGGCAAAATAGCTCATGTTCATCTTATTTGATGATGTGCCACCAGACGACTTGATTTGTGTCCGAAACAGAGAGTGAGATTATGTCACGACTCAGTTGTGACTTGGTTAAGGTTTTAGAAATTAAGAAGAGAATAGAGGAGAATTAAAAAGACTAAAGAGCGACTAGAAAAGAATTAAGGAGACTAATAAGAGAATAGAGAGGGGTTTAGAGGAGAAATTATCTTTCCATTCAATAAAAATCAGTTATAGCCAAAAATTATTTAAATAAAGCTATTGTGGAACTCTCGTGCAAATTGTAAAAAAATACAAATTTGCAAAGTATTACTAGCCAATAGATTAATAATTAACTCCAACTCGAATATATTAATAACTGACATCACCATTTTCTGCCATACTCTTGCTCATGCCGTTATTACTCTTTTCCACTAAGTTCATCACAATACCCTTTCCTTCACCATTTTCTTGTACCCAAGGATCAAAATCTGAAAACTATGACTTTAATATTGTATAGTCTTTCCAAGTTGTGTTATCAAGCCCTAAATTCGACCATATCACCAGAAATTAGGTGATAGCCTTATTTTGCCTTTTAGCCATTCGTTTATCAAGCACAATAGTAGGATATACACGTAGTTGTCTATCCTCATTAGTTGCTAGTGGAGCTAGGCTGGGAGCTACCTTGTTTCCTAATTTCTTTTTTAACAAACTGACATGAAACACTGGATAAAGCTTAGAAGTAGGAGGTAACTACAATTTATAAGCAACTGAACCAATTTTGGCTAATATAGGATAAAGACCATAAAGTTTTAAACTCTTTTGAAGTGCCAAAGAGGTTTGTTTGTAGGGTTGAAGTTTTAAATACATTTCATCTCCCACATAAACTTTCTTTCACTTATTTTCCTGTCAGCATGCAATTTAATCCTCTATTGAGCTTTATTCAACTGATCAACCATTAACCTACTGACTTGTTCTCTATCTTTCAATAATTCTTCCACATTCATTGTTTTTGCTTGACTACTTGCATCTCATGCTAAGGTTAAGGGTTTATAACCATACAAAGCCTGAAATGAAAACATTCTTAGAGAAGTGTGATAGTTTATATTATGCCACCATTCGGCTAACGGTAGCTATCGAACCTAACTTTTAGGCTTAAAATAACACATACACCATAAATACTGCTCCAAACACTGATTAACCGTTTTGGTTTACCCATAAGATTTTGGATGATAAGCTATACTTAGATGATATGTGGTTCCCAATAATTTCATCAACTCCTATCAAAATAGACTAGTGAATACTAGATCCATATCAGAAATAGCAATTTTAAGAGTCTCATGTTATTTATGAACTTGGTTGAGATACATTTTAGCTACTTTCATAATTGTTAAAGGATGGGATAAAGGAAAAAAATGACTATACTTAATGAATTTATCCACATCACCATAATACAGTTAAATTTTTGAAATAAGGGTAACCTTACAATAAAATTCATGCTGATTACATCCCAAGCTTGCATCGTATATGAATTGGTTATAGAAGACCAAGATAAGAAACATGCTCATCTTTATTCTTTTAACAGGTATCACACTATTGAATATACTCACAAACTTATTTCTTCATTCCAGGCTAATAAAAATTTAATTTAAGTTTGTGGTAGGTGGCTTGAATTCCTGAATGCCTCCTTAAGGTGAATTATGTATGACTTGCAAAATTTTCTCCTTTAACTGTCCACTATTACCTATATACACTTTCTCTTTAATCTTAAAACGCCATTACTAAATGAATAGTGAGAATTATAAAGAGGATGGATGATAAAAGCCTTAACTTGTTCTTGTGCCAATGTTTCACCATTATAGCTATACTTGATCTCTTTCACCTACTTTGGTATAAATGTAGTGGATTGCAAGCTATAGCTTTCTGCTTCTTTGTTATGTTACTTGGATAGGGCATCTATTGCTATATTCATCATGCCCTTTCTATACTGTATAGAGTAATCTAGCCCAAGTAATTTGGTTAGTCTTTTTTTTTTAAATAATAGTGGTCAACTTTTACTTAAGCAAATATTTTAAGGCTTCATGATCTATCTTGATAATGAATTATTATCTTTTCAAGTAGTGTCTCCATTTTGTTACTGCCATTAGTATGGCTCCTGAGATGTAATCAGCATGAATTTTGTTGTAGGGTTACCCTTATTTAAAAAATTTAACTGTATTATGGTGACAGTGGATAAATTCATTAAGTATAGTCACTTTTTTCTTTAGTCCCATTTTTTTACAGCTATAGAAGTAGCTAAAATATATTTTAACCAAGTTCATAAACTGCATGAGACTCCTAGAATTGCTATTTCTGATAAAGATCTAGTCTTCACTATTATATTTTGGCAAGAGTTGATGGAATTATTGAAAATCACAGTTCATTTGAGTACAGCTTATCATCCAGAATCTAATAGGCAAACCAAGAGGTTAATCAGTGTTTTAAGCAGTATTTATGGTGTATGTGTTTTTTCAAGCCTAAAAGTTAAGTTTGATGGCTACCGTTATTCGAATGGTGG